GAGAAGGTGGTAATGAAGCATATAACTAAGAAACATTGTCTTCTTGGGAACCTGGCTCTGTTTTCCCACTAATTTGTGTGCTTCCTCCAGGTTTGTTATCATTCTTTACTGGATGTTTTTTTTCCAGTTCTTTAAAAGAAAGGAAAGGGGGGGGGGACCTTTGGCAGGCTCTCAAGGCTGCAACATGGGCAGATAACAATACAAAATGTCACAACCATGCTCAATATTCCAGTTCTTACTCCTCTGCTACTATGTCAGCTCCTCATAAAGTTTGGAACTGATATTAATATTTAACTTTTAACTCACAGGATCTTTCGTGGTCTCAGCCTGACTTAATTAGCTGACATTTAGTTCCCAATATTCCGCCTCACAGTCTTTGGAGTCCTTGGGTACTAGTTTATTAACATTCCCCACAGTAGACTGAAGAAGGCTGTTTCCAGATCCTTTATCAATTGTTCCTGAAGGCAACAGAATTCATTGCTGAATGCCATTAGCCTGGCCTATCCTGTAAATATGTTTAAAGCCACAGTGAAAGCTCTTTGCTTTTCTGTTTCATTTAAATTAGCTTTGTGAATTGCTCTTTCTCTTTCTTTTCTCCTCTTCCCCTCTGCCTGTGCAAAACTGCATTATGTTACTCCTTGATAAAGTACCGCAGTTACCATTACTGTATCACAAAATGGTGGTACTGTTGTGAATCAAGATCCTTGCCATAATTTATGCAAAGACCTTTAAAGCGGGGTAGCCGTTGCCACACCCAGGGTGGTGGTGTGAGGTACAAAGCGTAATATGTTGAACAAAGTGACTAGGACTGTAGAGACCAAGGGGTAGCCGTTGCCACACCCAGGGTGGTGTTGTGAGGTACAAAGCGTAATATGTTGGACAAAGTGACTAGAACTGTAGAGACCAAGGTTCGAATCCATGCTCAGCCATGGAAATTCACTAGGGGAGTAGAACTGGTAAAACTAGTCCTTAAATATCATTACACGTCAGTTCCAACTTGATGACACATTATTAAGCACCTCTCACCATAGATGAGTTTATTTTATGTAAAGCCCCAGCCATGTTACAGAACTCTGTGAAGAGTAACTGAAGAATTATTTGGGTTTGGGTTTGTTTTGAATGTATACCTGTTAGATGTATATGGAGAGACCCAACTGAGTTTCTCTTCTCCCAAACAGAAGAGGTAAACCACACTGGATAGTCTAGCTAGATGCTAGATTAATCTTAAGTTTGGAATGCCATTTCAGCTCTAGCTTCGTAAATCCAATAATGGTATTTTCTTCTTTTTCTTTTTTAAATTTGTGATCACAAATTGTGCCTTTTCTTCTTCTTGGTTTGCTGTTTTTGATCAGACCCCAACACTCAAAAATGAGAACTTGTGGGGAGGGAGAGAGGTTCTAGAGATCATTTATGCCGGATGTGTACAATGTAGAATGTACACCCCTTCCATTGACACTTATAATGGTTCATAAATGGGCCCCCCAATTTAAAATGCCAGGCACTAAGATTTCAACAGATGGCCACGGGTTTCTGGCTGGCATTACAGGTTTTACCAAAGCCATGGTCTGGATTTTTTCTCATGCATATCCCTGGATAGAGAGACATTTATTAACTGATTGATCGACAGGTAGAAAGAGAAGAGTATACAAGCAACTTCCAAAGCATATGCTGTTGAGCAGGACTGCAGATTTCAGCTGCAGGCTTTCCACAGTTAGGGCTGGCAACTCACAGTTCAATCCTTACGCATGTTTACCTGAATGTAAACCCGGCTTTGTTCAGTGAGGCTTATTCCTTGATAACAATGACAGCTTCGGTGTGCGACATAACTCCTGGCCTCTCCCCATAATTAGCAGGAAGAAAATAAAAATTAGTAGGAAAACCTATATGTATTTAAGCACAGTTCTGGACATGCTCGCCCTTTGTATTCAGGAGGACATGGTCTCCCAGGTTAGGAGGCATACTGTTTTAACCTAAATGGGTGGCAGAAGCTTTCTTTGTTTTGAGCAACATACAACCTGCCTTGCCATAGACATTTTTTCTCTTCTAGGGCAGACATACACATAGGCCTGTGTTTATCCTGCATGTAAATTCCAGCGTAGTTGTTAGAGATCAACATTTGATATCTAGTGACTGAATAACTTTAGCTCTAATTATCCATTTAAGCTACCATAACAAAACATGCTGTATATGGTTGTGTTCAGTATAATTACAGAGTATCTCACACAGAAGTGCGATTAATAGTATTTCATTAGATTACGACGCGGCTTCCCTAATTTGTGATGAATTTAATGCATGCTGGATGTCTACTCTATGAGAATAGTCCATCCATCCTATTTCGACTTCTGTCAATAAGACACAAAAATGCAGTAGGGCTATTACTGTATATATTTTCTAAACATTGTATTGGCATCAAGTGAGTGCATCCATCCTATTTCGACTTCTGTCAATAAAACACAAAAATGCAGTAGGGCGATTATATATTTTCTAAGCATTGTATTGGCATCAAGTGAGTGTGTGTGTTTGTGTGTGTGTGTGACAGTGTGTGTGTGTGACTGTGAGAAGCACAGTGTGGGAAAGCGTGCGCACCAGGAGACAAATGTGGGCAGAAAAATATGAGCTGTTATTGAACAATCTTGTTTTTAGGGCTTATTTTAGTAAATAAAGTATTGATCTTTCTCATTGGGGACCTTTGGTTCAATTCTGCTAGCCATTCGCCAGTTATATGTATACAATGGTGGCAGCTCATTCCTAGAAAACAGTATCAATCCACATTAAATATAATATCAGTCACAGCAACCTGAGCTCCTCTCCTGATAGACTTGATACGGAAAATGAAATCAGCCATTAAAAAGTAAGTATATAATTCTCACCCGGTTGCCATCTTTGTTTTCAAGGAAGACATAGGCTGAGGATTTAACGGGTGCAAAAGCAGGCATCTTTCTTGCCTTTAGCTGGAGGGTGACCCTTTATTACACCATCGTCTGGTTCCCTTGAACAGTTAGTTTGAACTGATATTATTCATTATGTTTGTACATCTGGTAGAGTTTGCTACAAATAAACCATCTTTTTAATTGGGATCATGAATCATTTATTTTGTTTTCCCTCCATATTCAATAATGATATTTTATATTTTTTTCCCCAGTACTTATTTCGTTACCAGCACCTGTCTGTTGTAATCGTTACAGTGCATTCCTCCTGGTTGCTAATTCAACAGAAACATTTCACCGACTCATTGCATATTATGGAACTGAGCACCATATCTGAAAATGCTTAGTTACTAGTATGATCCACTGACATCAGTGCTCCTTTCCTTCAGGCAATTACACTTATAATCACAAGCTTTAAACCTTGATCCAAAATGTATGACCTTGAAATTAAATCCCCTTAATTTCAATAAAACCCAGGAATGTGTATGGCATATACTGTAACCTTCAGTACCAGTTTTCTTTCTTTCTTTCTTTCTTTCTTTCTTTCTTTCTTTCTTTCTTTCTTTCTTTCTTTCTTTCTTATTACAACTAACTTTCCCTTTTTCTGTTTATTTATTGTCTCTATGTTGCCAGTTTCCCCCCTACTGAATATCATGTTGCTAGAACTTTAACATATCTTGTTCATTGTCACAAGGTAGAATTTGTTTCACATCAGTGAGATGTAACTTTTCACACTGATCTCTGTGGTTTGTAAAGGGGTTGGATCCAATATCTTGGTTTAGTTTTTTTTTTCTAAAATGAAGTAAATAAATAGGTTCATGAGCTGGACGTATTTATTTCTCCGGGTACTCCTTGTAATGACAGTGCCCAATGTCCTTCCATCATTGAATAATTTTTGTAAGATCTGGGTACATAGCCACCCTTATTTGAAGACCAAAGAAAATGGGATATGGATACAATTTGACTGTATTCTTTATGGAGGCAAATAGTATTAACAAAATGTAGCCTATTAAGGCTAAACTGTTTGTTAAGGGAATAGAATATATATCATGTGATGATAAAAGGAACAAAGGACACCAGTGCATTAGTGGTCTATGTTCTAATATAGCCTTCAGATTATCCTGCATACCGTGTTTCCCCGAAAATAAGACAGGTCTTATATTAATTTTTGCTCCAAAAAATACATTAGAGCTTATTTTCAGGGGATGTTTTATTTTTTTTTCACGTATAACAATCTAGATTTATTCAAATACAGTCATGTCATCTTCTTCTGGTTGCTGCACAATGGTGGAGAGCAGGGTTTCACTTAACTGGGGCTTATTTTGGGGGTAGGGCTTATATTATGAGCATCCTGAAATATCCTACTAGGGCTTATTTTTCAGGTTAGGTCTTTTTTTGGGGGGGGGGAATGGTATTTTGCCTTCCTTAATGAATTTTCCTGTGCATACATTTAGATCTGCAGTCCTATACCCACAGTGTTTGGAGTGTCTTGCTAATAATGAGACTTGATTTCTGAGGAGATATCTACAGATATAAGTTTGTGAATAATTTGGCTTAGACTTACATCACAATAAGCTTCTTGTGAAAATTGCGGGCATGCAGATGTATCAATGCAGCCATTTTATAAGGCAGCTATAGCCCCATATCCCTCTCAATAATAGGATGTTTCATATATCATTAGTTCATAGGACCCCTTTAGGTAAAAGGTGACTTGATGAGGTCCTTGTCATTGTACAGGATCATGATGCAATTCAGCCCAGTCAAGGTTTCAAAGAATGCGTCCGGGAGAAACAGCCACCAACTCTGAGGACCTGCCTTCGGTTCTTGCCTTCTAGTCCAATCAGAATAACACTGATTGTGCGGCATGCAGGCTTATGTTCAAGACCACATAAAGGTATTGCAGATACAATAATAAGCAATGAAGGCATAAAATTAGATTTTCATCAGCACACAGATACGTCATAAAACATCTCCACTTATACAATAGACAAAGTACAAACCTCCAAATATCAAAACTGCTAAAAGAAAAGTTTTTAGAGAACAAAAATAGTCACAGACCAGTAATACAGTTTTACTGACAAAAGTAAATAGAAACAGATTACTTGAACTAGCAGGGATAGGAAGAAAAGCAGTACAGTAATTTCAAATGTTTATACCTCCAATTGGCTTACTCTGTGTAATTATAACGTAATCAAGTCAGATGCTGATTTTTCCCATAGACGGATTCTTTTCCTTGGCTTTTGTATGATGGTGTGCAAATACTATTTTGTGTGTGTTTCTTAGAGAGAGAAAAATCCACAATGATTTCACCATCCCTCAGACTAATTGGGATACAAAGACCACTTCTCACTAATTAAAATCAGCTGATGAAATTTGAAGTTGATTATGCCCCCTTTTAATATATATAAAATATAGATTTTGGGCAAGTTCTTTCTTTATCTTCGCCCCCAAAATCAATAGGATTCCATGAAGTGTGAAGGAAGCAATTCGATTCCTTCCATTTAATTTTCCAACCACCATGAATAGGGGCAGAGTTTCCAGCTCTATTTGTCTAAATGAAGCCAACTGGAAACCTCTCTGTTTCTTCTTCCTATTCTGGGTATTTGCTAAGCACACTAGTTTCATGTCAAAATTAAAGTCGTCTCACCAACGGGTATGCTCATCTTCGTTAATCAACAGAATAGAAACCATATTAATTAGTCAAAACGCATGGTTTAAATGAGAGAAAGTTAATGTCAAATCCTGAGGCAGATAATAGAAAGGTATTCAACAAAACAAAGGAAGAATATGGGAAAGAGAAAATGTTGTTGATAAGAATGCAATTCCCTGCTGAAAAGAATATTAAGGCATCTGTTCTGGATCTAGTTAGAAACAAAAGATTTCAGTTCATGTGGAAGTAAGTGTAAGATGATAGCCAATTAATTACTCTTCTTCTAAACTCTTATTTTGTGAAACAAGTCCTACTGATTTTAATGAACCTTATTGCCAAGTAAATTTTAGTTTAGACTGTGGCCCATGGCTATGATGCTACATGGTCAAGTTTAGCTGAAACTGGATGCAAGCCAATCTTATTCTATTCACTACCATAATAATTAACACACAGTTCTATGAATATTGCTTGAAAGCATGACTGTTGTGATTAGCTTACTCTTAAGTATAGTAGTATGTCAAAGACCTGGTTGCCATCGGTGACCTGTAAGAGACTATAACTTCCAGAACAGGAATCCTGGTAAAGAGAATAGACCAAGATCTTCCCATGATCTCAAATACAGTATATTTACATTTCTTCAATACTAAAGACAAATCCAGTTCATTTCAAAGGAACTTGCTGCCAGCTTTATTTTTAAAAGTATTAAAAGTGTGTAATGGCATCAGATGAATCTTCCTGACTAAGAATAAAGCACATTTCAAAGAAGACATGGATGGAATTTCCCTTTCAAAAATGTAATAGGACTTTTCCAACAAGTACTCTACTGAAATTTCAGTGCTGATATCTTCATTTTTAATTATGAGCTGTTTCAACAGTACTTTCTCTTTTATTATTTACTGTGTACAATTTTGACTGACTTAGTAGCAGCCTTAAAAAGATGTAACTTAACATAACTTTTCGGCAAAGTTATATTTCCACTGGAAAATTCATATTAGGAAACCTCATATATTTCAAATTATTTTGCACACTCTCTACTGCATGAGAAATGATAGAAGGTTGGCATACTGTTTGATCTATAAGTATAACATGCTTGAAGGTCAGTAAGAATTAACCAGAGAGTAAGAGAAGTTTGATAGTAGTTCTAAGCAACAATGAGAGACAGCTTTAAAGTATTAAAAATTATGAGCAAATACATTATGTGAATTAGTAATAAAACTCTTCCCATCCAAAATAAATTATTATACAGGGTCCACTAGCACAAGAGTATCAGGGGCATACTGGCGTTTCCTCATTGAATCAGCCTGCTGATAGTGACTTCTTATAATAAAGAGAATTAATGTTTTCATTCCTTGCATAGAACATAAGCAGCTGCCATGTGGACTGGTTGGATCTTGTTATCTGATTTGACTTGCGCCCCTCCAAAACCCAGGGTGCAAAATGCTATGGTAATGGTTTGCTCACAAACAAAATGTGTTTATTTGAATCCTATCACTTTCAGGGGATGGTTTTGATATTAAACATCTGTCTCCTGACACAGAGCTGGTCTAAAGTGAAAAAACTGAGTCAGATTTTCTTTAAACTCCTGTAGTTCCACTGATAAGATAATAATAATCTTAGAACTGCAAAGCTGGGAGGGACCCCATGGACCATCGAGTACAGCCCCTGTCAAGGAGGCATAGTGGGGAATCAATCTCCCAACCATCTAAACCACTGAGCTATCCAGCGGTTCAAGAATAGGATGTTTATACCAATATGTTGGCAGTCATCTAAGCTGAGAGCTGAATGTATCGGAAGGTGGGTTCTTCTGCCTTTGGAACTTACCCATTGGTTAAAATAAGAGAACCGTAGTACACAGGTATTGTAACATAACGTCAACCCACAGGGCTGCTAAACAATCACCAACATTCTCCTGCAGAAGTAACAAATTCTCTTCCTGAAAATTTCTGAGTTTCCTAAAAATAAAGATTACTGATGCAACCAGCTGATACTTTGGGGGGAAAAAATCAACACTAACCGTTAGTTAAGGAAGCCCCAGTCCAATGTCATCAACAGACGGTGCAAACAGCACCACTATATCAGTCTAGGGGACACGTCTTTCAAAAAACTAGTAAAGATCAAAATTAAGGGAAGGCACAGGCTGGAGGGAGACTTCCACTGATGTTCTTCATCTGCAATAATAGTCGTTTTTCTAAAGTTCACCGTGTTTCTCGGGCTTTTCACAAAGACCTGAATGAGAGAAGACAAAGTCATACATCTTCAAAGGGTACAGAAATTAAATTCCATTGGAATGACATGAAACCTTTTTCAAAAATTGATTCTGGATGTCTTGAGTATGATAACACAATAAGACAACAATGTGATGCCAACTTACTGGTACATCTCAGTCAACATTTTATATCTGATGGTATCGACTCCATTTGATATGTTTTCCTTACTGGTTTGAACAATACAGAGTTCTCTTATCCCCTCTCTTCCCTTTCCACAAACTGAGAACTTTGCTTTCAAGTACACATCAGAAAGTGCTTCAAAAGGAGACATTTCTCAGGTTCAACTACCTCAAACACTGTTGATAACCCTATTATCCAGGGTCTCCTATGGCTAATATATTTCTAAATTATGGCAGAAATCTTTAACCTAATTATAGAAAAGGAAGTTCTACAGAAATGCGTGGGGTTATGTCTGCGTAGACAAAAAAACTGGGCTGTATGACAAGAAAAGAGGAACAGGATTTAGCCAATCTTCCTTTTGGCAACGTAGGTAGCTTTCAAGTATTCCAGCTAATCAGTGTGAATGAATCTAGGTTACTCTGATAGGAAGTTTGTTTTCTCTATTGACCTTCTTTCATAAGAGTCCAAAATAGGTGTGGCAAGATGCTGATTCTGTATCTAGAAGAAGCACTCCCTGAAGAGGCGAAAAAAACGTGAGGAAATGCATACTTAGCATGTGATCTCGCCCTTCATGTTAAATTAAAATTAGATAATTTATTTATTATTTGTTTCTTTTATTTATAGGCTGCTTTTCTCCCGATAAGGGGACCCAAGGTGGCGCACAATATTATAAGAAATAGGATTTAAATTATAATAATGTAAACATTATAAAACAATTAAAACCATATGCTAATTAAAATACAATTGAATAATTAAAAGGAAGTAAACATTAAAAACTAACTTAACTCTAAGGAGGCATTTAGGGATTCAATCATGATGGTTAAAACTCTGCCTGAAGAGATGGGTCTAATTTGATGGGAAAAGAAAAGAAACCAGTTACAGTTCTTTTAAGGCAACACCTTCAGTTACAGAACCCACTGTAGAAGAGGGCTGTCGTGAATCATTTTGCTTGTTTATGGGCAATTTCTCAAGGGATTTTTAAAAGGCAGAGCAGGAAAGGAAAGTTAGCTACGAAATGTGTCACGCTTCTCTGATACTATGAACACCAGTCCAGAACTCTATTGCTAGTCCCAAATACAGTAGATTCATTGGATCAGATTTGACATGTCTGCTCTCATTGCAACTAGCAGTAGGATTCTGTCTCTCTGTCTGTCCGCCTGTCTCTAACATCTGTCTTCTTCATTTCCATGTGCTAGAAAATGTTATTACAAACCAATGGAAATGTTAGGTGACTCATTTATTAAGACCAAATTCTTTTGCGTAGAAGTCTGTTGGGTGTGCATTGAAATCATTTTGAAGGGCAAGTCTCGGTGAGAATGAGCTCCTACCAACTTCCAAGGCTCTGCTGTTAGAATAATAAAAGACAGAAAGCAAGGGAAAATGAAAATACAAACATCAGGGTGTTTTTTTTAAAGAGAAGAATAGAAGTATTTGTATGCCCATCTGCAGTTCAAAAATGCATCAATGATTTCCACCCAAGCTTTCTACATACATAATAAATTCACCTTTGGGAAGAAAATGGGAAATTTCAGCCAAAGAGAATAATTTTGCAGAGTTATGAGCATGTGAAGATGATTAGTGCAAAGAAAGTCTCTCTGTTACCTTAATGATAACTTGAGGGTCAGCTGGAAGCAGCAGCATATTATATTCCAATGGTAAATTAACTCCTATAGCTCCACACGTTAACGTACTAGAATATCATTGGCCAGCTTCCTAATTGTTGTTAACAACACAATTGCTATTACTCTCTTTAAAGAAACCAGTGAGATGATAATGTCTCTCATTTATGTTAAGCTCATTTTCTTCTGTCCTCTCCATCCTCAAAACATTTGAGATGAAGTGTGTGATACATCAAGGTGCAACAACGCCTTCTGACATGCATCGCCACTTCTGTGAGGTTGCTGGTTGTATGATAACTCTAAACTTTCAACTATGGGTTGAGGGGAAGAAGAGTATTCACTTGAGAAACCAATCTCAGGTCTTTAAAGATGGGGGAGATACAAACTGTGAGAAATGTGTAAAGTATGTTTCATCCTTTTTGATTCCTTGTCTGTGAAACGGGAAGTATAGAGATTTTGAGTGAGATCAAAGAAAACTTTTGACAGATAACTGATCCACGGTTGTCTGTATCAAACAGCTTCATCATTTTAACATACTTCATTGAAGATTTTTGTCTCTTTAGTCAAGCAACGAATGCAAATGTCATGTAAACATGTACACAAATGCCAGTATATCTTTCGAATAAAAGGCTTCTTGAATTTGACACTTTGGTGGCGCCAACAGGAGGTTCCCCTACAAAGTCGGTGCAACTTTCCCATATTTGCCTTTGACCAGATTATAACCCTTAATATTCCAGTCCCCATCTCCATTCCCAAACAATAGAACTGGTACACAGCAAACTAAACCCACTGCCAGTCGCTTTCTATAGGCCATCCCCAAATATAGCGTATTATTTGATTTTGGTTTGCAAAACATATCAAAACACTCCTACACCGAATGCTTGCACTTTCTTTTCCTGCTGAAATTCAACAACCCTGCAACAATCTCTTTGTTGTAAGCTAAGTCTTTTAGTAGGTTGTCTTCTTCATAATTTTGTTTAGTTTAGTTTAGCATGCTCTTCTCATCCAGCATTCTCCTGAATGAAAATGTCTGGTTACTTTCCTTCCTTCTTTGCATTTCTAGTTGTTGTTGTTATTTTGAAACATCTCTGCATTTTTCTTTGTAATCCTCTGAGATTTTACTAGGCTAACTCTTTTTTAAATGTTCATTTTTTCATAGAGCTATACACACAAATATAGTATTATCTGGAGCGTCTTCCTACACAAACTACAATCAGATCCAAAAAAACCTATCAAACTTAAACATGCATTTACAACAAAGCTGTGATTAATACAGATGGCAAATGAATTATACATGTATAATGTACATAAAATTTTCACCATATGCTGTCATTTAGCCTTTGCTATGCAGCGCATCTATGTAGCGATCCTGGGATAATTTAAATTTTGTTTCCTAGTCCAGTATTGTCCTCCCACCAGTTTGGAACCAGCTGATGCTTCCTCTACCAGGAATTAAGTAGAAAAATGCTTTGTTTTCTAAATCTAAGCAGTTTTACCTCCTTCCACTGATGTTGATGTTGAAGATGATCTGAATTAATTTGAGCTTCCTACAGCTAAACTGTTTATCCACTGTTGATGCTGAGAGTCTGAATTGATTTAAAAACTGTATGGTATGGCTTCTTCATAATTTTGTTTAGTTTAGTTTAGCATGCTCTTCTCATCCAGCATTCTCCTGAATGAAAATGTCTGGTTACTTTCCTTCCTCCTTTGCATTTCTAGTTGTTGTTGTTATTTTGAAACATCTCTGCATTTTTCTTTGTAATCCTCTGAGATTTTACAAGGTCAGGCATAAGGAATGCTATGGCCTACTGCTGTATTTTCCTGTTTTCTGTAAATCCCCGTCCAATCGAAAAGAGCAAACTTGCATTTGTTTTTATCGTTATTGATGCTGCTGCTTTCATTACTGTGTTACAAAATAATTCCACAAGTTGCTCAGTATTGGAAGAGCTAATGTTTATATCTCTAGTTGACATGAAGGCCTGTTCTTTCTAGGAGGAAATGGATGTTGCCACATGCCAAGCAGGGTTTTTTTGAAGATCATTTGCTTTCTGAAGCATCTACTTACAGGTAAGTGCACTTAGACTCTTGCAGCTAGACTGTAGACCCACACTTCTAAATACTATTACTTGGAAATTGCGCTACTGATTATGATGAAAGTTAAAACACATTTCCAGAATATATTCATTTTCTCGGGTGTCTTTTAAAGAAACCGAACTGTGTAACACAGTTTTTGAGGGGAAGTTATGACACTTTTATACTAATAAAAGCATGGCTAATGAAGTAATCATATCTGTAATAGGAAAGACGATAGTCCCATCCATGTATACTTATTGACACTTGTGTAAATGAGGAAAGCACAGCCTAAGGAACCTATCGTAGTATAATACTTCATAACCCTGAGTTTACTGTGTCAGATTCTCCAGGAAACAACATGATACACTGTCCTTTAGCACAAACACACATTTTCCAGCATATTTTGGGGTTCCATGTGACAGAAAATTACTTTATCCTAAAGTTACGAGTGCATTTGAGTTAGGTCAAAATGTTGAGAAAATCTACTCCTAGAATTATCTCTTCTTGTTATAGAAACGCCACCCTGTTTTTCTTTATCTCAATATTGCATGGGTGCAAAAAAAGGGAAATAAATAAAAGGGCATAATGGTGGCAATTCCATGCAGAGTTTGTAGAATGGTCATGTGGGCAACTGGCTTTTATAATATATTAAAAAGAACCAATATAAATTATAGAATGATCATGTGACTCATGGTTGAAAGCTATAATTTTAAATAATTTATTGGTATGTGGCAACAAGATGTATTAACCAGTTAGAGTCTTCTAGCCTTCCTAAATATTTACTTTCCCCACATTTCACTGTGTGTTCCAAAGTTCTAGGAGTTTTTATCTTATACTGCTGTCCTTTATATTTAAAGTTATTTATAGAGCTTTGAACTTTAAAAACTTCTGTGAACATTACAAGTCCTGTTTCTTTGATCACCCTTTCCTCTCATATATGTTTGTCCCCTCCTAATTTCTGTAATATTTCTATCCATTAATGATGATCTAATAACACAGCACAGTATTTCTGTTAACTCAGAAGTATGTTCTATTGAATTAATTGACGTTGCGCCCAGGTAAGTGTGTATAGGATTACACATTAAGTTTGTTTAGAAGCTGGCCACCGAGGAGAGGAAGAAGATAAAACCGAACATAGTTTTGTTCTCAAAATTTGATACACGCAACTAAAAACAAGTTGGATCCATCACAAAAATGATTGGATCTTCCATATAAGAATTGTTTATCTCGCTATTTTTCCCATTATATATATTTTTTCAGGATGATAATCTAGAACAATTGCTTCATTGTGGATGAGAAAACAAAAGCACTGTCTTTGCTTGTCACAAAACCTTGTTTCAGCAGAAATCAGCACTGAAATTGCATAAGGAACTGGCCAAAATGTTTATGTAAGGAAGATGATGTATTTGATCATCGTTATCACTCCATCTCCCTCAATCAGCAACCATGAAAACAAGTACAACAATGGAAAATGGGAACAATCTCACCTCCATGAAAAAATGGGCCATTTTGCCATTAGTTTCTTCAGAAGAAGGTAATATAGTAAATCACTTCTGAGTATTCTCTACCTGGAAAATGCTGAAATGGGTTGGCATAAGTCAGAATTGACTTCACGGCACATGATTATTAGTAGGAAGCTGTGGGTGGCAACCTGAGAGCTTTCTGTACAAGGCATGTTTTTCTGTGTGATATTTAGTTAGAAAATTAAGCTACACTTTAATATACGAACGAATTTATCTACTTATCTACCCATTTGTCTGTAAAACAATGATCTGTGGCACTGGTCCATGGGATTTTTTTTAAAAAAATGGCGGCATGTTGCAATTGGTGGCCCAATTTTAAGAGCAGACGCTAAATCCAACTTTTTTTTGCTACCTCTCCATGGCAGTTCAATGCCAACGTTTCTTTGGTGTACAGAACATTTTTCCCTCCACACTGCTTTTGCTGCACCGAAGCAAAATAACTGGGTTGATGGGGAGGAGGGGGGAAGAGTTGCTGTTGAGAGAGAGAGAGAGAGAGAGAGAGAGAGAGAGCACATGTTACATCAGACACAGTACCTGATTTTTCAATGCAGAGCTTGTCAGCCAGAAAGTCTGCCTCCTGGGCGATAAGTGCGAATATTTCATCTTCATACTGTTCTATGATAGTTTCACACTAAAAGGGAGAAAAGGGTAGCTCTGTAGCAAAAAGAAAAAACCCTAAACAAGGCCGTTTACAAGGTGCAGCAAAGGAATACAGTGTCAAGAATACAACTCGGATTGTTTGCTCATGCCGCATCCTGATCAAGTGTTCTGGTGTGTGTTTTTTTTTAAACTAACAAACAATATGATTTCAATATATGCTAATTTAGGTTCCATTTTTGGAAAATGAAAGGACCCCTTCGATTGTTCCAATGATCTCTCTCTCAAACTGTGAACATTTTTTAAAAACTCCGGCTAGTCTCATTTTGATATGATTGGTGGTGATGACTTTCAGAGAGCTTATAATACCAGTGTTCTGACGATGCAGATATAGAGAGGGTTCATATATTTGGGATGTGTGTGTATTTAAATATAAATTACGTTTTTAAAGGAAGGTTATACGTTTCACCCAAATGCAGTTGTTTCTCAAATTGCTGAAAGTGGCTACCAGTTTTAGGTACCGTCAGCTAGAATTTCAGTTTCCTGAGCAGCAGGCACTGCCCATACAACATTTTGGGGGGCAGCACAGCTGCAGTCTTTGCTCCGCCATTTTGTCCTTACGTCTCTCTTCCCCAAGCTCCAAAATGGGTCATGGCAAAGAAGGAAAGGGCCTCTTTCTTTTTCTTTTTTCTTTTAAAGGAACAAAAATAGTTGTTCAATAAAAATCTGTCATAAAGAACGCCAGATTTTACTAGTGAAAAGTTGGTATACGCCATGAGGTGGTGAAGGTACAGCTTCAACACAATGAATTAAGCACTGAGGGTCTTAAAATGCAAGATGGGTTTAAATCCTCACAGAATGCAATTCAACGGGATCACTGCTATATTAAGAATAATAGAAACAGCCTTGACAATTTTTGTGATTTCATGTTAATACAGCTAACATTACATCTGCAACCAGCTCTAAATGCAAGAAGATCCAGAAGTACTTATTCTTCGGAAACAATAGGTTTTGATTCCAGAGATCAAGTTTGGGATAGAGGTGAAAATCTTTCACATTTCTCTCCCTTTCTGTATTACAGACTCTTTCTAAATGTATAGATACTAAACATACATTGATGCGCCGGGATATATGACGCTTGAAAAAAAAACTGTCTTATTTCACAAAAGAAAAGAAAAATCTGCACAAGGCCAACTTCAGAATCTACCTTTCTCGCTTTAGACCTCTCTAGGCCTTCGTCCTGGCTTGTACAAGAAACCTTTCTAGAAGGCCTGGAGGAATAAAAGGCGAGGTGATGATTCCCCTTTCCCAGTCTGAACAGCAAAACATTTCGCTTGTACAAGAAACCTTTCTAGAAGGCCTAGAGGAATAAAAGGGGAGGTGATCCCCTTTCCCAGTCTGAACAGCAACACATTTTGAAATGTTGCTATGATAAATTTGGATTGCTAACCCAGGATGACAGTTGCCATTTGCTTAAGGAAGAGAGCAACTAATGTATCGTCCTTACTAAAATGGCCAATAAAGCCATTTTTGTTGCTGTTTTGAAAAACAGACTCTATTGTAGCAGTTTGACAACATAGCAATGGGTAAAAGAGTATACATACATAAAACCAAGATGATAAATACTATGATAATTAGATCTGTTATGCCCTCAAAATCCATGTTCTACAAATCATGCCATGCCATTGCTTATATTTAAAGATGAAGTATAGAGTCTGCAAAATATAACATTTTTAAAAAAACTATTGGTTTACAATCAGTGCCATTTGTTAATATATAATATCAAACATGATACTAATAGCAAAGCTCATTCCCCCAATGTCAGCAGGTGATTATGTTGTCTTACCGCATATTTCAAAGGCTTGTACGCGTCAGAATAAAAAAAGTATTTTTTGTATTCTGCGTAGATTTCTTCATCCTTCCTGGGAGCGTATCTCTTGAATATCTTTTTTTGAGTTACTGGATCGTCTTGAAGCTGGTAATCATTCATCCGATCACATATATTTTCCAAGACATCTGTTAAGAAGGTCTCTGACTTTGCGAAAGGAATCTAAAAGAAAGAGGAGAAAAACATACGGGAAAATGGAGATACACATACATGTTTAAATGTTCAAATGTCACAAAAGTAAAAGACTTTAAGTCTATATCAGTACAGGAGTCTTAACACAGTTCACAGAAACACAACAATGCTACTGATCTCTGTATCTGCTTTAAGTGTGGACCTGTATTATATTATATTAAATTATATAATTAAGAATGTCAGCTGAATCTAAGATGACACTTGAAAGCAAATTAACACCTAAACCTCCCAGTTTAAAAAAATCCCTTTAATGCTCAAACCATATAATGTGCTGTTATAACCTTTTCGATTTTTAAGCACATTTTGCAGCTCAAAGAAGTGGCACACACTTAGAAGAGCAAGAGAGGAGAAAATATCTTTCCGAGTCCAACTGTTTCTCGAATCAGGCTTGAAGATTTCTTGCTGGAGTCATCTTGGCTTCTTCGACTGGAGTTGAGTTTCTAGAAAGTCTGTCCCCATCCCCCCCCGCCCCCTGCCACCATTCAGTCCTTCAGTTGGTCTGTCTTACTTGCTGTTCGTCAATTCCCGTGCAGCTGTTTAATGCCTCCCAGGGGTTTATACAAAGAAAATAATTGCTTACAAAATTTAACTTCTCCCAGGTTCTACTGTTTCAAGCTTTACTTCCAAACAGCTGGTCCATGTCTTCACCCATTCCTCTTCCTTGAGAGTCAAGCCAGAATTCAGAGGGGAAAACATAGATACTACCTACAGACTTAGAGCGGATCTCAACAGCGAGTGCTGAAAGGGGGGGGTCAAAGAGCATCTCTCACCCTTGGAAACGGGGACAAAAAAACTTCTCCCCCGTCTAGACAGGTCAAGGTGCATGATGCGCCTATCCCTGTTGCTTCTTCCGGAAGGGGGCGTGAATGGAAGCCAAGTGCACAGTAAACAACGGGGGCTGCATCCGAGGGCCTTTTGGAGGATTCCTCCCCCCCCCTCCACCCTCTACTGATCAAAGTAGGAAGTTATCATGACAACCATAGTCAAAGGGACTGAATCGCAAATGAACTCGATTTCTGCAATGTTGATATATCCAGGCTCTATTGTCTCTTTTCAGACGCAGTATGAAGCCTTCCGGTCTCCATGATTACATTACAGAAGCACTTTCATATGTGTGTTCCATTGGCACAAAGAGGTTTCTGGCTTTACCACCATCTGGCTACAAATCAGATAAATAAAAGGCAGGAGAATTAAACCTAAAGCTTAAGAGTTCCCTTCCCCTCCCTCCTCTACACCCCACCTCCTGTGCTGCTTAAACTGGGCCATTTTGCCAGACTTCCTCCCTTAAGTTCACCCCCAGTTTGTATCTGGATTCTTAAGCTTTTAGGATAACTAGGAAGGACGGAAAAGGGGGAAAGGTTACATGTCAAGGAGAGAAAGAGTAAATAATAATAGGAAGCATGTGTGCCAGTACAGATTTAGGACACGGCATTGAACACCAAATAGCAAATTATGCAGATGGTTCAAAATGGCTGTGTAATATGTGTGGAATAGTATATACGCTTTGCCTGCACATACAAAGTAACCGAAAAGAGCAGACGAACTAGGCAAACCATACAAATTCTGCTTTCTACAACACACTTCTTTTGACTTGGAATTAAAATGCCAACTGCCCTTCTGTTGTTCGGAAACCAGCCCCATTGATTTCCAGGAATTTATGTTCAGCAGGAGATGTGTGTCCAGTTTTCGTTTTCTCTGGAGACCGAGGAAAACCACACGATCTTTATTGCTCAAGAGAAAACGTAGTCTGAACCTCATTACAGAGGGCAAGGCCTTAACAGAAAAGGGCATGCGATGCAATGAATTTGGGGCATATTGTGCCACTGAGGGCAGTTATGCCATCTTCTGGTTGCTGCAGAAACCATCAAACACAGAGGAGTGTTGAAGCCTACTGATTTTATAATTCAAGCATGTTTAATTCTGTGTTGGATAGGGAGAATCGCAGGTCGTATGGAAACAAATAATGTTGGATATTAAGGCAGAAAATCTATCTACACTTAGCTGGCATGAATGTCTACAGAATTTAACTTCCTCCAAGTAAATATGCACAAGATTGTGTTCTTGAAGGTTTTCACGAGTGGGATCCAATAGTTGCTGTAGGTTTTTTGGGCTGTTTGGCCGTGTTCTGGAGGTTTTTCTTCCTAACGTTTCCCCAGTTTCTGTGGCCGAGACTGGTGAAATGTTAGGAAGAAAAACCCTCCAGAACACGGCCAAACAGCCCGAAAAACCTACAACAGCCATGCACAAGATTGCACTGCATTCTAAGTGGGATGGGATGTCATCCCTAAAAGCTTGTGTCAAATAAAAACGTGTTAGTTTTTTTCTATATGCCACCAGCCTTATTGTTGTTTTAATTACAGGATATTACTTTTCCACATTTCAGTAGGAAAGAGGGCCATTAAATATGACAAGGAGGAAATGAAAACTAAATACTAATTGTTTCTCAGCAGACTGATAAAAAAGAATTAGAGTGACAGCAGACAGGCCATTTTTCTAAGCTAATAGAAATAAATTATTTTTGGAATCTACACCTCTAGTGTCTCATTGTTTATATCCAATCAGTGAAAGAAATTAAGGTTCCAAAGTGCATCCCATGTGAAAAGTAAATATCAAAAGAGTTTGTGAACTGATAGGGACTTCAAACAAACAAATTAGAACCACAGCATATAGGAAAGTGTCCTTTTTATGTTTCATTGCTATGAGTGATAGATAGACATGCTTAACCATGTGTTGGCCTATGAGAACCAACAGTGGCTGAAAGCCTGTTGCTTAGCACAATAAACTGCACTAGAGTAAGTCTAGTAAGTGGGGATTTGGTCAGTCAGCTCCTCTATAAGTTCCCATTTATTCAAATAGGCCTACTCTAGTTGCTACTTACCTTAGTGCAGGAAGCTACAATTGCAGTCGGCCCATTTGAATCAAATGTACTGATGGAGGAGTTGATTCACCAAATCCCTGATTCAGTGGACCTATTTCACCCAGTAACTCATACTTCTGCTATATACTTTATGTACATTGTTGGAACAACTGAACATTTTCAATAGATAAAGGGGTACTTAGTTCTTTCCGACATATGCACAAAAAGATTTATGTATCTAAAGAGAACATACTAAGATTTTCTGTCTCTATACAAATCTGTCCATGCATACTTGATATATGTATGCATATACTGTATATGCATACATTTTATACCTGAAGCACATATTACAATTATATTATGTAGTTGGAGAGAGGACTTGATTAACATCTGGTATGCCTGCCATAGTCTTTTTTTATTTATTTTTATTTTATTTTTTGAGGAAGAAATGCATTCATTTCCTGCACCTTTTTAATAGTTTAATTTTATCTTTAGCAAAGTAATTGGGACAGGAAGAGTCAGCGTAGAAGCTGATCATAGTTACCAGGCACTTCCTGTTCAAAACCTGTTTCCTTCCCAGCCCACCCACCCCCGTCCCTTTCAGAAATGAACAGAGTGCAACTCAGTATAAGTCTTCATACTTTCCCACAGAACTACTAGAATATAAAATTATCTTTCCACGTAGATCGGTTTTTGGTTTGTTTGGGTTTTTTTGCAATTATACATGCAGAATTGCACACACACCAACATATGCCTCCGTGGCACAGAAGTGTAATGCGTTCTGGCACAAATGAAATATGTACCATTGCACAAGCTCATTTTGTTTCATGCCAGCTCTGTGTTGCCAAGGCTTTATTAATGAAAGCAACAGGCATCTGTATATAAGCCCCTGTATATTTCTGAGGGTGTTTTTTTTAAAAAACATCCAACCACCATTGGCACAATAGCCTCTTCCAAAAGTTAAGGATACTTTAAAATTTCTTTAATAATAAAAGAAGGTTGGGGGGGAGTATTTGGACAAGTGGCAGAAAATGAAAGCCTTTCTTTGGAGACTATGAAGATTTTGAATGGTACTTTTCAATAAAGCAGCTCCCATTGTAGTCCCACCGGAGATGTGGGCCTCCGCCCCCCAAAAAAGCTGTCTTAGAGATAGCAGCCTCATTAAAATATGAATAACAAGTCAGCCGTCATTGTACAGAGAGAAAGGCATTTTTGCTCAGCATCGAACTTCAGCCATGGTTTAAATAACAACAAATCAACATACCGTGTTTTCCCAAAAATAAGACAGGGTCTCATGTTAATTTTTGCTCCAAAAACCGCATAAGGGCTTATTTTCAGGGGATGTTTTATTTTTTTCATGTACAACCATCTATATTTATTCAAATACAGTCATGTCATCTACTTCTGGTTGCTGCACAAGGAGGGCGGGGTTTCATTTAACTAGGGCTTATTATTGGGGTAGGGCTTATATTACGAGCATCATGAAAAATCATACTAGGGCTTATTTTCAGGTTAGGTCTTATTTTTGGGGAAACAGGGTAGTCTCTCTCTCACACACAAAATATATATTTTGTGTGGGTGGTTTGAAAATTTTTAAAATAAATCTCTGGTGCTGCTAATCATTCAAAGCATGCCTGACACTTAAAAAAAAGGGAGGAAGTTGCCTTCTAATGATTCAAAATGCAAAAAAAGAGAGAGTGGGGTGGGGGGAGTCTCTTTATATCCATCTATGCAGCCATGTGCACATACAGAGACAAATCGGTTCCAGGAAATTTTAGCCAATTTTAAGCCCCATGATGGAGAATTCATTACAGGCTAAAGAGATGACACCTTCATAACAGTCAATTACAAGGAAGCTCATGAGCCAGTTCATTACTATGTCTCTGCTAATCTTGTGGCAAATTTCTGCCTTGATAGAGACCATAACCAGCCAAGAAAGCAATTGGATTGCAGACATGGGATAACAAAAATAAAAATGTAACGGCTGCAGATGGACATCTTCCAAAATCCAGGGTACCAACCAAACATTTCTTAGAACCGCCGTTTCCTCTTTAAGACACAGGCTCTCTCGCTCCCCCCCCTGCCTCTTTGCCTCCCTGTCAGTGCTGCAGTA